CCGGTGAGTGTTCTGTCTGTCCTAGTTCTATATTTCACTATCCTTGAAATAAAGGTATTATCAGTTTATCTGCATTTGGGTCCTGCTTCCTTCGCTCTACCGTGACATTCATGTTGTTTAAAGAAAGATGAACTTGTCCACACTGTCTTTGTCCGTCATCCTTGTACGTAACTGCAAAACCAAAATGTTCCCAAACCAGAGACTTCAATGATGCTGGAGGATTTTCAGCTCAACTTTATCTGCGTTCGCCATTTCGACAGTTCCTCAAATTACTGACTACATTTGAACGCATCCCTGTGACCAGCTCTCATAGTATGCTTCTCGTCCAATGAAATGACTTGGTCGCTCTATGATATATACCTGAGATTACTTCCAGAAAGTGGTTCATGTTCTCAATTTTTTATGTTTAACGCTATATTCGTTCTTTACACACGTGTACCGAACCGAAGGGCCCGTACCGAATAATTTCAGTACGGGTACCATTACACCCCTAATTGATTGATATGATTGCGATTTAAATCAGCATATACTTCTGTCAGGGGATACCACCCCACAAAATCTCCTGCCACCCTCTTGCCACCCCATGAATATTTGTCTAGATCCGCCCCTGGACCCAAGCACTGAAGGAATGAGGTATTTGCGGTCTACAATGACAGAGAAGAGACTGTCAGTTTGACTGTACTCAGCATTGAATCAAAACGCACTAAAGCTGTTGATCTTAATACGTTTGTGAGGCGTTTTGCTGAACAAGATGGTAATCGCCGCATTCAGCTGTAATAGACATGTCAACTTGATGCTCTGCTCACGGATGAGCATACAAAACTATTAAGATGATGACCTTACGTGTGTACATATATTGTTTTCTTTGAGGGGGTCTGCCCCCAAAAAACTGTTTTAAGTCCTGAGAAAGTCAAATAAGACGGTATTTAAAACTACACTGCCCAGCCAAAAAAAAGTAACCACTTTGATTGAACTAGGCCAGTAGGTAAGGACTTTCCACTGGATAATAACTGCAGTATAAAAGAATGCATGACTGAAGTGATGGAGACCATGTTGAAGGCAAACAAAAAGAGGAAATAACAGGTCAAATCAAACAAATCCCCCTCTCAGATTGCACAGCAACCAGAAGAACATAAATACTGGCTGGTGATTTGATTCATCAGCTTTGTGATGGAATAAAAAATGCACAGTGCATTTCCTTAGCTGTGGGTGAGTCCACTGACACCACTGACAATGCTCAGTTGCTGGTGTTTGTGAGTTTGTATGATGAGGCAAAGGGGGAGTTTGTTGAAGATGTGTTGGGCCTGACGAACCTCAGTGGACACACAAGGGGGCAAGACATTTATAAAGCAATAATGGGAATGCTGAATGAAAGAGGGTGCAGCTGCCTTTATTCCTAACTGTGCAGCTCTTACACTGCGACTCTGAGGGGTCAAGCACAGAAACAATAACAATGAAAACTGCTGCATACAGATTATTTTTGTTTTTGCAACCTCGTGTTAAGAATCTTGTTGCAATTGTTTAAAAGTTTGAATGACCGTAATAAACGGACCTTTGTCTTATTGAAACATTTATTTTGGACCTTTAAGATTTGTATTTGAGTACCCCTGGCCTAGGTGTACATTTAATTCTGGTAAACTTCGACATTCAACAGACTGCTATATCACAATATGATGTTTGAAAAAGAATGAATTACCAGCCTGCATTGTTAGAGACTCTCACTGACAAATCGGCCATTCTCAACTGCTTTAATGAACATTTTATTTCTTCTGGTTCTTTGTTTGTGTCCCTACATTCGGACCCTGAACAGAACGTTGATTCCTCACCACCTCCATCCCATCCCGTGGCTCAGCCATTCAATTTCACTTTTATCGAGGCGATAGAGGTCCATAAAGCATTGCAGAATCTGGATTCACACAAATCGGCAGGTCCGGACAAACTTCCTCCTCATTTTCTTAAATTAGCTGCAGACTTTATAGCTGAGCCGCTTACTTATCTTTTTAATTTATCTCTTTCCAACGATGAGATTCCTAACATATGGACATCTGCATATGTTCTTCCTTTACTGAAAGGAGGGGATCCCTCATCTGTTAATAATTATAGGCCAATTTCAAAATGATGTGTTGTAGCGAAGGTCCTTGAAAGGCTTCTCAGTGAACAACTTAAATTATTCTTGGACACAAATGATATTTTGTCAGAGCACCAATCCGGTTTTAGAAAACAACACAGCACAACAACTGCTGCTGGTTTTTAAATTATTTATCAGCGAGAACCCAATGTGTCCAATTTTCTGGGTCCTCTTCTTCCTTCCTCCCGATAGCAAAGGGTGTGCCACAAGGTTCCATATTAGGACCGATTCTTTTTTACCATATATGTAAATAATCTATATAATAATTTAGCAAATGCTTCTTACAATTTTGATGCAGATGATACTGTTATTTATTGTTCCTCCGCTTCTATAGAGCAAAGTCTAGATTTCCTCCAGTCTGCCTTTGATGTCATACAAACCCATTTATATCAACTAAAGTTGGTATTAAATGAAGAAAAATCCAAAGTGATGATATTTTCGAATGGCAAAAAGTTACCATCTATTCTACCCAAGATTTGTGCTGCTCAAGGGACTGACATTGAGAGGGTCACTACTTACACATATCTGGGATTTCTTATTGAACAGAACTTGTCTTTCAAGTTACACACGGAAAATGTTGTTTCAAAGCTAAAACTAAAATTAGGTTTCTTTTACAGGAATAAATCCTGTTTCTCTTTTCAGACAAGGAAACATTTGATATCTGCAACGTTTTTACCTGTATTAGATTATGGTGATCTGCTATACATGAATGCCTCCGACCAGTGCCTAAAGAGCTTGGATACATTTGCACATATATGTGTCAAAGAGAAAGTCTATATGGCCTACACTGAGTAAGTGCATTGAACAAATCAATGACTGGATGTGTCAGAACTTTCTCCAATTAAACAAAGATAAAACTGAGGTAATGGTTTTTGGAGCCAAGGCAGAACGTATAAAAGTTAGCGCTGAGCTTCAGTGTGCAATGTTCAAAACAACAGATAAAGCCAGAAATCTAGGTGTAGTCATGGACTCTGACCTGAGTTTCAACAGTCACATTAAAACTGTTACTAAATCAGCCTACTATCACCTAAAGAATATATCTAGGATTAAAAGACTAATGTCACAGCAGGATTTGGAAAAACTTGTCCATGCTTTTATCTTCAGTAGACTGGACTACTGCAATGGTGTCTTCACAGGTCTCACTAAAAAATCTATTAGGAAGCTGCAGCTAATTCAGAACGCTGCTGCTCGAGTCCTCACTAACACTAAGAAAGTGGATCACATCACTCCTGTTCTGAAGTCTTTACACTGGCTTCCTGTGTGTCACAGAATAGATTTCAAAATACTGCTGCTGGTTTATAAAGCACTGAATGGTTTAGGCCCAAAATACATTTCTGACCTCCTGCTAAATTATGAACCATCCAGATCTCTCAGGTCTTCAGGGACTGGTCAGCTTTCTGTCCCCAGAGTCAGAACTAAACATGGTAAAGCAGCGTTCAGTTATTATGCTCCAAATATCTGGAACAAACTCCCAGAAACCTGCAGGTCCGCTGCAACTCTGACTACTTTTAAATCCAGGCTGAAGACTTTTCTTTTTGTCGCTGCTTTTAATTGAACTATTCATATCTTAGACTGCACTGTAACTTTTATCCATGTACTTTTTTCTTTTAATGTTTAATTGACAGCACTGTAACTTGTATCCATGTATTTTTTCTTTTAATGTTTATTTTATTAGCTTTTCTTTTTAATGACTGATTTTAAATGCCATTTTCTTAATCTCTTTCATTTTTTGTAAAGCACTTTGAATTGCCTTGTGTTGAAAAGTGCTATATAAATAAACTTGCCTTGCCTTGCCTTGCCTTGCGCTCCCAAGATTTGATTCAGATGCTGGTTCCTACAGTGAGAACAAAACTGGGTAAAACAGCTTTTAAATATGCTGCCCCCACAGCTTGGAACAATGTACAGAAGGAGCTGAAACTCTCAGATGTAATCACTATTGGGGAATTCAGGTCCATCTTAAAGGACAGAGAACACGACACCATTGGTAGATGCGAGTGCTCGTTTATCCTAAAATCGATTTAAATGTTGTCAGTTTTTAATGATTTTTAATAGTTTGTTTTACTTCGCATATTGACTGGCTAATGTGCCATTTTATTTGTGTTTTACAGCTGTATTTGTCTGCCTGTCATGTCTGTGTTTTATCTGTAACTTCGTACATGCTGCCCCTCTTGGCCAGGTCACTCTTGGAAAAGAGATTTTAATCTCAATGAGTCTTTTACCTGGTTAAATAAAGGATATATATATATGTTTACTTAGTAAGAAGCCGTGTAATAAGCAGGATACTATGCAGCAAGTGGGTCATCATAGGAAAAGTAACTTTGCATGGAATAATGACCGCTTTGTATTTAGATATGAATATATATTTAAGCAACAGCTCACGACAGGCCGTGGTATATATGTATATTATATCACAGCTAAGGGCTGTGGTTCAGCCCAACTGTATACAGTTATTCTCAGACGCGGAGGGATACTGACTTGTTGTGAAAAGTAACTACAATTCTACCCGTGATATACGCTCATTATATCACGGCTAAGAACCAATCAGATTGCTTGATTTGACTTGTCCGTTTTATAAATATATTTATAAAACGGACACGTCAAATAAAAAATGTATTAACAGAAATCATTCTCAATCTCTTCTCATTATGGATATGTAGATATTTGATATTGCTTGTGAAAATATTTCTCTTTATTTTTTAGTAATCTTTCTATTTTTGATCCTTCTCTTACAAATGATTTCCCTATACTGTGTTTAGGTTTGCAGCACTGTGCACACAAACAAGTTCATTGTTTCTGTGAACCTACATGGCAATAAACCTGATTCTGATGTTATCGGAGGTTAAATGACTTCTGGGTAATTCTGTGTCGTCAGGTTCGTATGGAGAACGTGACGGTGCTGGGGGAGGATGTGATCGTGAACGACGAGCTTTACCTGAACGGTGCCAACGTGCTGCCTCACAAATCCATCAACGAGTCGGGTCCCAGAGCCGCGGATCATCATGTAGCGGCAGGAGGAAGGGAAGACCAGCGCCTCTCTTTTTATACGAACTCGACTGACACCCAAACTGTGCCAGAGAGAAGGACGAGGGTGGAGGAAAGAAGAAGAAAGAGGAGGCAAAGGAGAAGAAGGTGTTTTTTCCCCCCCGTTCTGTTTATAATTTGGACTATTTTTAGCCCTGCTTGGCTGCACCGTCCATCAATAAGAAACAATGGCGTACGCACGATCTTGGACGATAATGTCCTGAATGTTGCCGAGGTTAAAGGTCTTGCGTGAGCACTGCTATAGAGAGCGGGAAATTCACACCAAACGCAGAGCGACATTTCAGTGGTCTGTTTATTACAATGGTACGAACCCAAAATAAGATATATTTACTTATGGCTAAACTGCAATAAAAAGATCCAAAGGTTACTGAAGTAATTCGATCATGACGCCGAACAAATCCACTCATAATCTTGTCTCTGCATTATATTTGTAAGCAATCGAACCACAGGAAACATTAGCTCTGCGTTTGATGTGGACGCTCCATTAGAGTTATGGGGCTGATATGTTTCTGTCAGAAGGTGGAGGGACTACTGTGAAGTGTAATCGGGGGGGAGGGGGTTAGTGAGCGATATGAACATTGCTGTTTTAGATTCACTATGCATTAACATGTCCTGGGTGAACAGGCAATGAAGGATCACACTAAATGTGTCTCTGCTGTGGCAGCGACTGGAATCCTAACTGACATTGAGATTTCTAAATGCAGTATAAGTTATAGTTGATCAATTATTATAGTCTTTTTTTAAACTGGGTTATATGAGGTACCGATCCATAGTCAGTGTAACACCTACAGTACATGGCAGTAGCAGTTTGGAGAAACAAACACAACAGAGGAAAAAACAAGAGGCCTTCTTAAATAAAATCTATATCAGTTTTAAGTGAATGCTTAAAAATAATATTTTCAAAGCTTACATTTTCTGTCAGGGAACTGAAGCTGCAACCAGTCTCCAATCTGTACCTTGCAGAACATGGTAGCTGCAGGCCTGCTGCTGCTTCAATAGTTGAGTTTGTTGTTTTAAAATCAACCCTATCACATACCTACAGTACGTTGCATAATAACACAATGCTCTTGCTTTCTGTCAGCTAGGGTTGTAACGGCATAAGATTTTGAAAGTATAATATAGTCAAATATTACAGTATCTTATTCAAATGAGTTTTCTTATTATTTACAGTGAGCCTTTAAAGAATAGGACCCGAATTACAGTATAAACCTGATACAAAAAAACATACCTCTGTTATGATGGATGAATTGTAAAGGCCTTTTTGCTGCATTCTGTTCATATACAGATGCTGTATGACTAACATGAATTAGTTCCTAATTTAACTAAAGCATGTAAGTGTACACTGTAGGAGCAAACACAATAGTGGTGGCTTAAAGCCCACCTCTGCTCCGCGCCGTCCTTTAGATGAGCCTGGTCAGATTTAATAAAAGAAGGAGTTTAAAACACCGGCATAAAAGTTATAACAATAATCTGATTTTAATACAGTAAAAAACACCAATACAAGTTTACAGAGTACTCCGGACTCCCAGTTCTACTGCCGTGCGATACAGGTATCGGGACCAGCCAGTCAGAAACAGGGGGCATTTTGCATGAAGAAACAACAGTATACATGGATATGTTTTGAGGTGTAGAATCACTTCTTATCTTCCACCGGACCCAACTCCTTTAATTTCCCAGGGAAGGTTTCACACAAACTATTCTTTTAAAACAATCAAACATTATACACAGATATATTGGTGCTTGGGATTATTCCCAGAAAGAACCTTGAAAAAGAACATGTGTGTGTGTTAGTGAGGGGAAGTGTATGTGTGTGTGTGTGTGTGTGTGTGTGTGTGTGTGCTGATAAGCGGAGGCGTATGTGTGTGTGTTGCTGATATCTGGGTTAAGGAGTTTATGTGTGTGTGCTGCATGGAGACAGGAGGTGTGTGTCAGGGTCTCTGGGTCATGGAGTGTAAGTAAGAAGGTTTATATATATAGGATTACTTTAAACAGTCCCAAATAATACATGTTCACTTCAATACAGTTCAAGATAATACCTGTTTACTTTAATACAGTTTAGAACAATATCTGGGTGCTTTAACATGCAAGCACTATTTTAGCATGTTCAATTCATAAATGAAAATGACATCAGCTTAATAATGTCCTAATGTGAACACATTGTGTATGTGTGTACCTTTTACTCACACACCTAAACGTAATTTCTTTTCAACACTGTCTATAAACAAATGTACACAATTTGATAAGTTGGTCAACTTTAATACCAAGATACCTTTATACCCTTACAACCCTAGTGTCATCCTTGTTGTAAAAACTAGATTTTAACATTCAACAAGGACAAATCCATGTATCCCTGATATTCAAATAACTGGTTAAAGGTTTCTGAAGATCATCGTCACAACAGGCGGCCATGTTTGTGTCTTAAAGTCTCTCATTTGATCCTGAACACTGTCAGATCTGATCCCTGAACAGATTGCAGTTCTTTCAAGTTGTCTTTCTGTTTTTCTGTAGTGATGAACAGTTTAGGACACTGACCATGTAAAGACTTGAGTCTGAATGAATGAAGTAAACTCTTGTAATGAAATATTTTTTAAAGGAAATAATATAATCTGCTGATCACATCTCGTGTCATCCCTACCTTTCATTTTGTGTTAGTTTGACTAGTTTGAATTAGTATTCATTCTTATGCAAACAGTTGTTGTCCGTTGCTTTTTTATTATTCTTTTTTTATGACAAAAAAATACCATGTCAAAATGCAAGAAAAACAATAGCAGCACTTTTAGAACCAATACTGATAATACAAATATGAAGAATATGTAGGTGGAATGATGTGTAACATAAAGAGGTTATTTTTAAAGAGTGCATATGAACTCTGTCACAATATGAATACATATATTATTTAAAAATAATTATAATGCTAATCAATGTAGTTAACTTTGTTAATTGTGAAGACACCATTAAGCAAAAAGTAAATTTCATACTTAAAAATGTATATATGCAGACTAAAACACACACACACGTACACTACATAGACAAAAGTGTTGGGCCACCTACACGTTATACCTACAGGAGCTTTTATGACATCCCATTCCAAATTCTTAGGCATTAATATGAAGTTGTTCCCCCCTCTGCAGCTACAACAGCTTCCACTCTTCTGGGAAGGCTTTCTACAAGATTTTGGAGTGTGTCTGTGAATGCTTGCCCATTCATCAAGAAGAGCATTTGTGAGGTCAGACACTGATGTTGGACCAGAGGCTGGCTCTCTGTTCTAGTTCATCCCAAAGGTGTTCAATGGAGTTGAGGTCAAGGCTCTGTGCGGGCCAGTCAGGTTCTTCCACACCAAACTCATCCAACCAGGCCTTTATGCACCTTGCTTTGTGGGGCACAGTCAGTTTGGAACAGAAAAGGGCCTTCCCCAAGCTGTCCAAGATGACTTGGATTCTTGGCATTGTGTCTGGTGATGTAAGGCTTGATTCAGCTGCTCGGCCATGAAGCTCCCGGCGCACAGTTTGGTGCTGATATTAATGCCAGAGCTGGAACTCTGCAGAGCTTTGGCCACTTTTACGCACTATGCTCCTCAGCACAAAAAACGCAAAAATATATGCGAATAACATTTTTTTGATGAATGGCTGAATTTGCCTTACTTTGCCAATGTGAACTAACTTAGCACTCGAGAAGCAAGTGCACCTTCCTCTTGCTTTTTCATTAATACTTTTATGTTAATTCACCTGTAAAACATTAATGTGTTTATTTCTTATTGTTACCATGGTAACAATAAGTGCATTTGTTTTGAACTGCAATTTTTACACATCACATGGAACGTGATGACATCTTCAAAGCCAATTTGACTGTCAGAGGGAATGCTATGACATCAAAGCGATATTGCTGTCAGAGGGAATGCTATAAGACAACTTGGGAAACTAATTTTCTGTCATTAGGCAAAGGTTAGCACAAGTGACTTTGAGTAGCAAGACATCATTACATTTTTCATTATTTACTTGTTCAAATATTACTCTCATTAGTAGAAAGTTACAGGTTTGCACAAGTTCTTCCTCAATCTATTCAGTTCAACACAAACCAGAGACAAGCAAACATGGCAAAGGCAAATAACAGTGATTTGAGAAGCCGTGTGGATGCATATATTAATAAACATTGGGAGATGGACACCTGTAGAGAACTTGATTCCACCAGGACCGACCTTTTGTCGTGTAAGACAAGAGAAAGAGCCAAACTGAAAAGCAAGTATGAGACCCTGGGTGCAGTCCTTGATCGGCTGCGTGGCGTAGATGCAGTAAAAGGGTCAAGCTCTGGGCACCGAGATGAAATTGCAAGTCTGAAATTGAAGCTGAATGCGGCTGTGGGCAGGGGGAAAGACACTGCTGGAAACCTTGAATTCCAAATCAAATTAAATAAGGACTTAAAGTGCCAGCTTCAGAACATGTGTGCAAAGCAGTCCAAGACTAAACTGGACGAAGAGAAAACAAACGAGGTCCTCCGCAGTCAGTTGAAGGAGATCCAGGTAAGGTCAGCCTCCAGATTGAGCCTTGAATCTGCCATCAACATGGATCTCCAAAACAAGCTGGAGGTGGCCAGTAAACGGCTGGAGATGGCCAGTAAACAGCTGCAGCCGCCTCCAAGTCACATGAGCACACAGGCTCCTGAGGATCTGTCAGAGTTGCAGCTGAAGAAATCCCCAGGATTGCTGGATCTTTCCAACATCCTGTCTAGTGATGAGCAGGAAGAGCCAGAAACAGAAGCTACAAGAACAAATATCTGTTTCACAGCTGAGGAGGAGGTACCGCTCCAAGGAGCGGAGAAGGAAAATGCACCCGCTGCAGAGACCTCAGGGAGCAGTCTTGGAGGTCTCCCAAGGTTTTCAGATAGTGTAGAAGACCTTGCTGAAGACAAGTTTATCGAGAAAGTAAAACAGAGAATGGTTCACATCAAGATCAGCCAGCTGCGGGAAATAACAGAGGAAGCAGTGAATCAGGTGTGGGAGACCATAGATCCCCTGCTGAGGAGCCAGCGGGTGCAGGTGGACCAGCTGGTGCGTGCTGTGAAGCTGGCCCAGAAGCAGCTGGTGGACCAGCGTGAAGAGGACTCTAAAGTTCTGCTGCGGACGGAGAAGGACTGGGAGTGGAGGTTTCAACAGATCCTGACCAGGAGGTCCCCCAGAAGGAGTTGGGTTGTCCGCATGTTTGGATGCGGAAGTGAGGAGGATTGGGGACCCCCCTATGGGTAATGGCCCCCTGTTGAAGTCCCTTGCATTAATGCATCAATATTAGTTTTAATCAACAACAAAAAGAAAAATAATAGTAAAGGTAATAATAATAACAATAGTAATGATGATATTAATAACAACAATAGTAATGATAATAATAACAATAGTAACAATACAAATAATAATAACAATAGTAATGATGATAATAATTTGTATAAAAATACCAATAGTAATGATAGTGATAATAATATCAACTGTTTAAATAATGTAATACATATATTTATGTACATTTATTACATGGCTTAGTTGAATACTCGATTCTGATTGGTCAATTCAGAACACGTGACACGTTGTTAATCCAGAACAGACAGAGCGTTGTTAAGGACGCTCACATCTGCACAAAGAAGTCCGGTCGATTGAACTGTATACAGTTTGGCTGAAAAGCAAAGTGCATCAGGTGATCTGCCTGTCGGGTGTTCTTTTACCCACAATGACCACCTCGCTGCACATTATCCCTTACATATACAATTTCAATCATTATTATATTTGTAAATCATTTTTTTAAGACATATATATTTTATAAATATTAAATAATGCATTTGTAATATAACATGTCAATACAATGTAAACACAAAACAGAAGTCAGACCTGTTGTTTCATTTCTGTATAAACCTATAGAGGGCATTTTAGACAATATCTCACTTCAAAACTGCTGTTCTAAGTATCACTCTTTAAAGATCTTATTTATCATTTCTGATCAGGGTGTAAGGTACTTTTGTTTGGAACTTAAAGATTTGCAAGAGTTACATTTCGGTGGTACAAAAGTAACTTAGTACATTTACTCATGCATTATGGAAAGGAGAAGAAACATTTCCAAATTGGCCCCCGTCCAGTACAAACCTGTCCTGACAAATCATTTAAACTGTCCAGAAGTCAATGTAAACTGCCACTAAATGATTATCTCTTTACTGTTGTATTGCCATCCATAGCAGTTATTGACAAACAATTAAAATGTTTAGGAAATAAATTGTTTTTTTTAATTCAATATATCAATCAATCAAATCATACGTCCCAATGACACAAATCATAAATTGCCTCGGGGGGGCTTTCATACAGTTTGTCCTTAGACTGTTGCAGCTGACAAGAAATAACTCCCCATAAGAACCCTTACAATAAGTATAGGCTTTGAACAATCTTTAGTTTTATAATTATGGTGTAAATGCGCTTACACTTTTCTCTCACTTCTCACGAATCTGGAAACTTTAACGTTTAAAAAATAAAATAAACACAAATTCACAACATTGAACCCAACTGCCTCCCGTAATTCCAGCATGGGATTTTACCATGAATTGTCTGTGATAGCTGGTTTGTTGATGCTTTGAGTGTAATTTTTGGACTTCATGCCAATACATCTGAAATCATCAGAACAAGGCTGATAAGTTATAATAAAATAAACAAACTCTCTAATTTCTCTTAACAGTGTGTAATACATTTCTTCATAACACCACCACACATATTTTTGTTTCATCTCCACCCAAAAAACCAACCCGGTATCACGGCAAGACGTGAACATGTGACGATTTACCATGCTGGGAGACGTGAAGATGTCACGGTTTCGTCCCTTCAAACGTGACAGTTACACGGTATTGTTAACATGGCCCAACCAGTGGAGAAATACCCGGAAGTGCCAAGCAAATGCTCTACCGCGACTATTGGTCGGTTTTTATTGTCCAAATTTGATATTTTTAATAAAAAAATGTAATCGTCACACTCGATCTCGCCGATTTTCTTGTGGCCCCAGCTGGTCGACACCTCTTTTAGCAGAAACAAAGGCTACATTAATGTATTAAATCGATGTTAATCCATTTGCATTGTTGTGGAAATACCGGACGTGACGTTGTGTGATCGCTTAGCAACTGACCTCCGTGGAAATAAACACCACTAAGGTTCAAGGGTTTTTGTTATCAGATGCTAGCTACAGTGTAATTTTGGCATTTAAAATCTTAGATCCCGAGCTCCTCCAACAGTGCAACATAATATAAATAGGACATAATAAGAAAATTAGAAAAAGATAAATAAAAAATTGTGCTAAATACACCACTTTTGGTTCAAATTATGAAACCAGTAGATTCATTCATTTATTTATTTTTCAACCAAAAGCTGCTGCAATTGCTGAATCTCATCTTCTGGAAACAAACAAAAAAGAAAATGTTCAGCATCACAACAGCGTAATCATATTGCATCAGGTATTCGTTTGATTATGTTGACACATTTCCTAACTTTCAATGATAGTAAATGTCATCCTACCAACAAGCTGAGGGGGGTACTGCAGAGGTTGCTCCCGCTGGTTCCACAGTCACTGGACTGTCAATGGCAACAGTTCTGACTGAAAAATAATAATTATAATAGATATATTGATAACAGATCATAATTACAGAGAACAGGAGGCAATCGCAGGCAAATGTTATGCATTAAAAGAGTTCTAACAGTTCTAACCAACTCTAACTATTTATTACAATGGCCTATTTTTATACGTACGACTGAATAACAGATATTTGTTCAATACCTCTCTAAGCTGAAACATGCTGTACCAATCATGTTGCGAACAATCAAAACAAAAACGACATATGTTAATCATGAATACCTGTATACATGCACAAACCTTTAGTACGTCGGCAGGTTGCCCCACTTCTGCTCCTCCTTGTTAGAGGACACCCCTGAGCATCTTTGCCTACTCAGCGGATTCTGCTCCTGCTAGATGCTGCTCTGGCCCTGTCTTCTTCCTCCTTCAATAAAGTAGTCATGCATTATCACAACAAGCTGCTTTTCATTCCCAGTTTATTCCTATTCACTTTGAATTACAAGCACATAATCAATCAACCTAATCAGTACATCGGGCACAAAACCAATACCATTGAAATTAAACAATTTACCTTTAGTTGTTTACAAAGTAAATCGGCAAGGAAAATGGCGTCTTCTAGCTGTCCCTCGCCTTGTTAAGCAGCCATTTCAGGAACATCAATTAGTGTGTGTGTGTGCTTATAAATACAAAAGAGAAAGTGGTAAAGAGACAGAGATGAAGATGGTAAGAATGGGGAGAAGACAGGAAGAAATGTAGGGAATATAGCTCTGAGTAGGGAGAAGAGAAGAACTAGAAAAAGTGCTGTTTGATCTTGCTTTGGTTTGGAATCTGTTGAAGGAAAAAATACAGTTAACACTTTTGAATGCATGACAATTTACAATCTCACATATCATCAACAAGCTTTAACATTGGGGTAAATTACGAGTTAAAGCACTAATCAATCAGGGGCGGACTGGAACAAGGACAGCTCTGAACGTTTTGTCCTAAATAGGACCACAATAATCAGCGTGCAGTAACAGTCTGTAGATGGTTGTCATGACATTTCTTCACAATACTATTAGTTGCCACTGTATGCAAGTATGACAGCCACAATAGGCCTTTTTCCAAGCTTTGTATATACAGTGCCAAAGTATTTAACTCAACATTTTCTTACATGAACTTTTTTTCCAACACAACATTTACATTGTTAGCAGTTATGTTTTGGTGTACTTCTAAAGGTAATTAGTTATTTGCTCGCTGTCAATTTATTGCCATTTATTTCAGATATATTTATATATTTCAATTTAACAGCTAACTTGAATTTAACTTCTGTTAGACAGCTATCATACTGAATACATATTTACTGTAAATGTATGCAAAAATGTATGGCTTCTAACTTCTAACAGAAGTTAAATCCATTTCTCACTTATTCTGACAATGTACTTAACCCCAAATAAAATAACCCAATAAAAAGAGTTGTTAAATAGTAAAGTCACGTTGTAATAACAATAACTCATCTCTCTCGAGTTTTCTTTTTGAGCTTTGCCAAAAGCCACTGTGTCAAGTGTCCTACTTGGTTTGCCGTCCGGAGTTGTCCATCTCGCACATGCGCACTCTAGATCGGGCAGAGCAGCAGATCGGGTAGTGACAATAGCATAACGTTAGCATTTTGCTTCTGGCCATTAGATTTATGATTCGAAAATTATAAAAGTAGGGTAGATATGTGGAGATTATCCGGCTGAACAAAACGTGCCTTTATCTAACAGGTTCGTTTTCCACAGATCTTATTACGAGCTATTTTCCAAAATCCTATGGAGAAATCCCATTGACTCTGATACGAGGGAACCAATAGTTGTAAAATTGCTAACTCACTTCCGAGTTGTAGGACTCATCACTGCACTATATCCCCGGTCAAGTAAGCTAATATGTGTTTAGCTAGCTCGTGCTTTAAAAAAATATGTGACTACAACTGATTTACTTGCAATAAACATTAAAATATTAGAGGCATGCGGGTGCAGCACCTTACCCTGCTTGGCGAAGTCAGACAGAGAGGTAGTTGTTAGTGATGTGTCGGTCGCGAACGAGCCGGCTCAAAGAGCCGGCTCTTTTAAGTGAACGACTGGAGCCGGCTCTCGCCCGCGAACGAGCCGTTTTTTGTTTTGTTTTTGCGGAGGGATTTAGATCGGCATGAAGGCACATTATGCAATGTGCACATTATCCCGCTTATTACACATGGCCACATTCTCAACAAAGTAACAACATGACTCCCAATATTAATTTTAAATGCTTTTATGGATTTAGATAATGATTTTATTGATTTAAAAATAGTTTTATGTATTGATTTAAATTGACATGCATCCGCTAAGAAAAGTAGTCCGTTGTTACTGTTTGTACTAACCGTAGCAACGGCAGGAACTGCTTCGATCGTGTTTTTGAGGAGCTTTTTGATTACATATTTGAAAACATCGTTGCTTGCTTTAAAAGTAGCACAATTCATTGTGTCAAACCTTGGAAAGTACCTAGATATCCCTGCCCTAATGCCAAAGTAACTGGCAACTGAATATGTGTCGCCGTCTGATGTCTATGTCTGGGACCGCTGCGTAAAAACGAGGGTTTCTGCCCCGTTACTTCTCTTCTTACTTCTATAAGAATAAAACACGGAGGACGGAGATCTCTTTTTCTCCCCCTCTTCTCCCTGCTGCAGCCTAGCAGCTGATCTCAAAGCACGCTCCCTTCTCCTGCAGGGGGGCGTGGTCAGCTGCAGCTCACAGAATCAGCCCACTGAAAAAACAGCGCTGGAAAGAGCAAATAGAGCGAAATGAGGCATGGCTAAAATGCAGGATCTTTTTGGTATTTTGAAAAAAAAACTATATTTATATACTTTATATAGGTCGATACAGCCCCTTTTTTTTAAATAGTTGTTATAGGTGTTGCTATCTGTTTGTGTATGTCAATGCATTCATTGGGTGTATCAAGAGAGTTACACGAGTCTGTAAATGCAATGAAAACAATTGGCCACAGCAAATCATTTATATTAAACATGTAATTTTTACTTTTGAATACTTCAGTACAAAGGATGTATTGAATAATTAAGTGATATATGTGTACACACAGTGGCGGCTGGTGGAAAATATTTTTGGTGGGGCTGTTGATATAGTGAGTAAAACAATTTTTTTTGGGGAGAATGACCCCTTAATTAGGGACTTCTGGTGATGTAATGGCGCGTTTCCAGTGCAGCGCCGACGTAACAACATACTGATACCGGTTAGTAAAAAACCATGAATTAATGCTTTGACAAGTCTGCAGACAGACGGCAGGCGAAAACCTTTTTAGAATGCTTGTTTCTGAATGGAGCTTGGCTAAGCTAACGTATATATGCTCGACCGTCCACACTCACAACAACGGCCTATACAGACATAAATAACCAGCGACTGTATTCTCCATGACACAGACCGTCTGTGGGTTTGTACTTTTTTTTACTTTTGTCTAGTTTCTGAACAGATCGTATTGTCCCCGGCTGTTTGAAGAGCAAGCATGGGAAACAAAAGATAGCATTTACCTGTTTTGCATCCAGCTAGCCATGCCTTTGGTGTACCAGCTACGTGAGAAGCCTGCCTCGTTGATACGTTTGTCTTTTTCACGAGCTTGCTGTGATATATACAAATCGGGTTTGGTCCGACCAAGGTCTTTAAGGGTGCGTTCACACCTGCCTTGTATAGTCCGGTTGAATCGAACCCTGGTGCGTTTGGCGCTTGGTGCGGTTCATTTGGGTCGGTGTGAACGCAGTCCGAGACCTCTTAAGTGAACTAAACAACCGGACTCTGGTCCGCTAAAATAGGTGGTCTCGGAAAGCTTTCTGCGAACTCTGGAGCGGTTCATTGCTGGTGTGAACGCAATCCGCACCAAAACATAGCGTAGTATTTGCGCGTCCTTTCTTGTTGTGGAGGAGAGGATTGCAAATGGTGGGAAATGAGCGGCAGGGGACAAACGTGGAGCTATGAGGAACACAGATGCCTTCTGGATATCTGGGCAGAGGAGAACATTTCTCAACTGCTGGAGAAGGTTCATAAAAACGCGGAGGTGTTCAAAAATCTTTAGCGACCGACTGAAGCAACTAGGATTTAACCGGAGTGTTGAACAGTGTCGTATAAAGGTGAAGAAACTACGCCAACCAATACATAAAAGTGCCGACGCGCTGCAGAAGAGCGGCAGCTCCCCAAGTATCAAAGAGACATTTATTTGGTATGAGGATCTCGACAGTATCTTGAACACAAGACCCATAGTGAGCCCCGTAGATGTGGTCGAGTCCTATGCGAGGAAGAGGTGGATAAGTCGCCTGATGAGGGGAGCCTGAGCTCCACTGCCGATGCCGGGGCTGCTAAGGCGGATACTAGCCGCAGTTACTCCGCGGATGCGAGGACTCTGATAACAATGGTACGTTCACTGTAAACTTATTTATGCTGCCGGTGTACATGCTTGTTATCGTCCTTTTGACTTGGGGGATGAGCTATAAAACCACTGCAACCACTATAAACCACTATAAAAAACACACATTAATAAGCAAGCAACCTATAAAGCTGCTTATGAAATAATTACTAGAAAAGTGTGTGAAGTGTAATTATGAAATCCTATGAACATTACCTAGGCCTACATCAGCCATATGCCCAACTCCTCAACTAACGAATTCATTAACTAACGGTTATAACGTTTTTTACCGCACGTTGTCTCAGTATGTATTGATATGCGTCGCCCGCTACATTCTGTTGATATGCTCTCCATATGAACAGCAGCATGAAAACAATCTGCGGATGCTCCATGTTGGGCTCCGGTGGAAATTGCCGCGATTTTTCCGTGTTTACATGTAGTTTTTACCCGCTTCATGTCTGACCAATGGTTGAACAGCATTTCCGTGCACATGACTTGTGTTTAAAAGTTTATAGTGTAGTGCCGTGAAAAGAGAGTCGGAGGCGGTGTATTAAGAATGGAGTTCCAATCTTATTATCCATTACTTTCAGAGAGGTTAACAACATGCACTGCTCTGCTGATGAAGCTAGCAGGAATGGCAGCTAAAGCTACAGGTGTTCCCCCACTAAAGGGTCCGTGTGGCAACACAATAAGCAAGGTGAATTATGTCCAATAACGTGTCACCACACAAGCCCCCCCCCAGAATTCACACATAAACAAAATCAGCATGGCGGGGAGGAACGACACGCCGACCCCCACGACTCCTGAGACGGGAGTCGGAAAAGTGACTCCCGCCTGTGCGGGCCCCTGGAAGGGGAGGGACCGGAACAACAGGTCTTAAATCCGTGACAGGGGACGAGGCGCGGGGGCGGCCCCGTCGCGGAGGTCGAGCCAGCACCACAGGCTGGTCCAAGTCCAGGGTGAGCAGTCTTCACCCTGGTTCCACCGAGACGTGCTCGGCCTTGCCACCAGGTCGACCACACAGGTGCTTGTCCCCGTGCTCCAAGACCCGGAAAGGCCCATCATAAGGGGGCTGCAGGGGGCCTCTGTGCGCATCGTGCCGGATGAACACGTGCTCCGCCGAGCGGAGCTCTGCGGGAACCTGGGACACCTGAGTACCGTGCTGAGTAGTAGGGATCGGAGCAACAGGCCTCAGCGGCGTCACGCAGGAAAGCCCGCTGGGACCGACGCCGACCAGGGAGCCGATGCATTTTGCACGTGCTTGAATTGGAATGAAAAAGGTGCCAGTACTCTAAAATCAGCAACTTTTTCAAGTCAATTTTATATATACAGCCCACAAACAAGAATTTGGCTACTATAATGCTGTGGGTTTGTCTCTTTACTACTGTATATTTTAGAAAGGTTTCACTGTACTTTAACATTTTTATGATAGGCAGCGGATATGGCTAAAGCTCAGTAAGGTCAATATTAACTGAAAATATAGCATCAAAGTCTAGATCTTCTGCTGAAGACACATGAAGCAGAGACCTTTCAGGTGAGAGCCCCTCTGGTGGTGTTTCAACATTAATGACAAGGAAACAAAGCTCTGGTCAGAAGCATTTTTTTATAAAAAGCTTTAACAAAATTAAGTATTTCTGTACATTTTGAATGCAATCTAACTTTCTAACTCAGAAAAACGAAAAGTGCCAAAAGTCTTCTCACATGGCTGAGCTGCTTTGCAATATACTTCACCACTGAAGAATACAAATATGTATAAAGTAAACTATAATGCAATCTAACTTTCCAACTCAGAAAAATGATTAAAGAGCATGAACAAAGAACATGTAAAAACAAATGCAAAATTTGCACAATCTAAATGAGAAACTGTAACTGCAAGTAACAAAGTCTGAGCCATGGTAAAGAGTTACATTGAACACCAAGCTGATCAGATAACTCCCTGGTTGGTCTGAAGTCCTTCTATCTCCAGGATCTGTACAAATCGGCACATTATGCCAAAAGTCTTCTCACTGGGTGAGCTGCTTTGCAATATACTTCACAATTGTTAGAAAAGGCTCCAGAAGGCCTTGGGGACATCAGTATCAGGGGCTGGAGCTGGACAGGCTCTTTCATCAGCACTTCTCCTTCCCTTTGCCAGCCAGGACCTCACATACTGTTCCGGATTGAACTGTCCTAGTGATGGTCCATTACATTTAATGAAAACCAGGCTGGACAGTCGGCTGACAGAGAGAGCATTCCTTTTTGCAGTAAGGATATCGTTCATGCAGCTGAATGCCCCGCTCACACTCCACTAGTGGAGACAGCGATGGTTCGGACTGCTTTCAGTAGAGGCTCCATGGCAAGC